ACCCTGATCTTCCCTGAGTGGCGGTGGCCTCTTTGGCTTGGCACTGCTACTTTCCCTGCCTGGAATGCCCTGCCTCCCTCCCTCACTCACCTGGCAGATTCCTACCCACCCATCAGGACCCTGCTCACATGCGCCATCTGGTGTGGAAGCCTTTCCCCAAAGCTCCTGAGTGGGTACCCCTGCATCTCTGGCCTGAGCACGGAGCCAGCCACAGTGAAGGGGTCAGCATGTGTTTGTTGAATGAATGAATGGCATTCTTTGACTCAGCAAATACCTACCCTGTTCCCAGGGCTGAAATGAGTCACTAGATGCATCAGACCCTGCTCTTACCTCTCTCTCCCACTCCCCCCGCCCCCCAGCTGAGAAAGCTCCACTGAATGAGGTATCCCGGGGGCCTCCTGGAGGAGGCAGCCTGGTGGGATTCTGGGACCTGCTGGAAGCATCCCTGCCCCTTGACCCTGACTTCTCTGCACCCCCCCAGAGCCCAGAGCTGAATTCCATGCATGGGGGCACTTAAGAGGTCGTATTTGCTAAGGCTGTGGGGAGGGGCAGGCTCTGGGCTGGTGTGTAGAGAAGGGGGCACAGGACAGAGGAAATGCCAGTTCTAGTCCCAGGTGTGATCCCCGCTAAGCCCTCACCTGTAAAATGGGTTTGGTAGCTGCCCTACTACTTTCCTGGGCTGTGCAGACGAATGAGGGGTGACATCTTTTCAGTTGGCAGGGGCCGGGGTTATGGAGCATGGGTAGTCCAGGCACCCGCTCTCTTAGCCAGCCACAAGCCAGGGGTCACAGATGCAAACCCTCTGCCCGTTGCCAACGGCGAATCAGCATCTCTCTCTCCTTTTTCCAGAACCTCCAAGACCCCTGGCTCACCTTTGCCGGCTGCAAGTTCGAAAAGCCATTGGGAAATACCGTATAAAACTCTTGGACACGTTGCCACTCCCAGGCAGGCTGATTAGATACCTGAAATATGAGAACACCCAGTAAACCGGGGCACGTGGAGACGGAGTGGCTCCTCAGACTGTTTCACTGAGTGTCAGGACAGCAGTGGCCCCAAATCCAAGGGGACCTGGAGACAGACGAGGCTGTGGGCTGCCTCCGTCTCAGCTGGAGTAGCGCCGTGATCTCACCGGTCCCTGGGCCAGAGCTTTGCCCAGAGCAGAGGACAGAATGTGTCACGTAGGAGAAGAGCCATGTTTGTTTTCAAATGGACGAGGAGGTCCCCGACCTTCTCTGCCATCAGGGATGGCAGAAGGCTCCATTCCTGGGGCCAGGAGATGGGACCAGGGCAGAACTTGGGGTGGTCTGGGGAAGGCAGGGGCCAGCAGGGAAGCCCTGGCGCCACCTCTGGGCTGTGGCTGGAGAGCTTTCGGGGGTGAGTCTGTCTTTCCCAGACAGCCTTGCTGCAGAGTGTCCCTGTGCCCCTCCCCCTTTGCTCTGGGAAACTCTCCACTTGACTCTGAGCTCTCTCCCCAAAGGTGTGGCCCAGGGGAGTGGGGTGGGGAGACCTCGGTCCCAGAGGGCTTCCTTAGGTACAATAAATGTTGCACAGATGGTGCCCTGCCTGGTGAAGTTCCTTTTCGCCAGACCCCTCCAGCCCCTCAGGTCCTTAGCCCAGCTCCTGGCAGGAGTGGGGGAGGAGCAGGTGCTGGGACAGGGCACATGGACCCCTGATAGTGTCACTTTGGTTTGGGCTTCTGAAAGGCCCAAGAGAATGTGTCCTTCATTCACCAGAAGAGACCTGACAGCCCCAGGAAAGGGGGCAGCTTCCTGCCCTGTGGTTGGAGTAGCCAAGGTTGGCTTTTCTCTCCCTGTTCAGTTGTCATGGAAACTGGAGTTTCATCACAAACAAGGTCTCAGATCCTACAAGTCTCCTGACACCTGGGCTTGTCCTATACACGTGTTCCCTGGCACTGTCTTCACGTCTTACCCGTTTTGCTACAAAAGCTGAGATACTGGGAAAAACCATTCAAATACCGGCTCCTGTGAGCAAACGCCGGAGGGATGGACCTCGTCAGCCCTTGCAAAGGCACCACACTTGAGAGACAGAAGCCTTGTGCCCCCCGTTGCATCCTTCCGTCCTCACGTGGGTGCGGGAGGAGTCCGGCAGGAGCTGCGAGCCCATTTGGGGTGGTGCAGGTGAGAGAGCTGAGGTCTGGCACAGCTCTAGTGCTTTCTCGCCGTCTGAGTCCCGCTCGGCTCGCCGAGATTGCCTTGTTTCCATGGAAGTCCCAGTGACTCATAGGCGCTGCCTTCCCTGACTGGTTAAAGCCACTCAGGTGACACCAGAGCAGGTGACCTTCCTCAGAGTCTGCTCCGGCCCCGCCCCAGGAGAGGTTTAAGCGAGGTCAGACGGAGTTTCTGGCTTTCGGCAAACAAGCAGCTGGGCAGGTTCTGGGAGCACTGGTCCCAGGCTGGCTCTGCTGTCGGCTCACTCTTCTGCGGCCTCGGGTTGCCATCCTTATGGCCCCTGGTGGCCTTGCTGGCTCTGACACGCTGGCTTGCCATGGAACCAGTAAGTCCCAGTGTCTTCCTGAAGAGAATGAGTCTGCCAAATGACACCTTCCAGCCAGGGTTCAGAGGGGACTAGGCCGCATCTTGCCCACTCCCTCCTGGTACAGGAGGGAAAACAGGCCCAGAGAGGGGAAGGGACTTGCCTGGGTACACACAGCAAATCCCCGGGATTCCAGCCCAGCAGTGCTTGGCTAGAGTCCCATGCTGTCTTGCTTCAGAGATCCCGAGGAAATATCGAAGGAAACCTGCGTCCTCCCAGACTGGGGATGTTCAACCCCAGGGTCCCAGGGGAAGGGGCCAAGGAGGGCTCAGTGCATAGCCAGAGGAAGGCCCTGACTGAAGAGTGCCTTTGCTGACCTGGGAGCCAGAGGGGGTGGCAGTCAATGATGGGACAGAGCAGAAAGATGTTGTTTGGGGGCATTTGGGGTGGGGCTGGGTATCAGGCAAAACTCTTAAAACTACAGCACTTCTTAGGTCACCTTATGTTCTAGAGGGTCCTAACAGGCAGGGGCCACAGGCGTTGGGCAGGATGGGGACGCTGGTCTGAGGGAGGTGTGCCCTGGAGGAGGTGAGTCTTGAGGAGGTGGTGGGAGATGTGGGAAGGGAGAGCTCAGCCCCTGGATTCAGCATCAGCACCGTTTATTTGTAGGATGTGGGGCCCGTCTTGGGAGGCACAGGAGTCGCCTTGGGTTCTTAGAATATTGATGTACGTCCATAGCAGTCAGTCACAGCCACTGGTCAGGGCCCCACCCCTCCAGTGCCTTGACCAGCCCCCCACCTCCAAATCACCCAAATCACCCTGGGGGGTCGGTTCTGAATGATCAGGGCTCACACTGTGCCAGTGGTTCCGTTTTGTTTTTTTGTTTTTGGGGGTTTTTTTTTGCAGTATGCGGGCCTCTCACCGTTGCGGCCTCTCCCGTTGCGGAGCACAGGCTCCGGATGCACAGGCTCAGCGGCCATGGCTCACGGGCCCAGCCGCTCCGCGGCATGTGGGACCTTCCCGGACCGGGGCACGAACCCGTGTCCCCTGCATCGGCAGGCGGACTCTCAACCACTGCGCCACCAGGGAAGCCCAGTTCCATTTTTTGACCATCTCTGCTGTCAAGAGGACTGTACAGACACCACTCCTGCGCTTACCCAGCCCCTGGGAAGACTTCAGCCTCAGAGGTGTCTAGACAGCATCACCAAACAGTAAACGTCCTGAAAGTGTCTTCATTTCGTGAGCAGGGGCACATTTGACCCAGTGCTGGAGATCTGAGCCTGTGAGCAGGAGCTGAGTTCCTGGGTTTCATGTTGAAACAACACCATTCACTGCTTGGTTAGGGAAGCAGCTGCTGCTGCTACTGCGGCTGTTTTTTGTTTGTTTGTTTTTAATACTGAAGTTTTCCAAGTTGTGTTTTTCCCCAGCTTGCTTCGACGTGGAAAATCACGGTGTCGGGTGCTTCTGTTGAGTGGCACCTTAGTAAAGGTTTCTGCTCCCAGACAAGTCTCCCAGAATTTGAATTAAGGCACTGCCAGGCATCCCCTGGGAAAGGTTGAGCCCCAGAGGAGCTGTGGGGACCCAGGCCCGATGTACTCGAGCAGCACCCCAAGAAAACATGCCTCTCAGAACTGGGCTTCTTTGGAGGAGTGCGGGTGGCTGGATGACCGGGTCACCCATTCCCGTGGGCTGCCCACTCTATAAACAACACTGAAATGTCGGTGTTGAAGGACCTACAGACACCGTCAGATAACCAGGAGAGGTGACTTTGGGTTGGTGCAGCTTTCCATCCTTTGTGAAATACTAGAGTGCCCGGCACTCACAGCATCCCCACAGCTACCCACGTGGCAGGTGTATTTTCAATCACAGTTTTTGGATGAGGACGTTCTGGCACAGATAGGGTAAGTAACTTGCCCAAGGTCACACAGCTAGCTGGTGGCAGGGCCCAGATTAGAGCTTTTAACACCCTGCTGTACAATGTGGAGGGGCTGAGCCTCATCACAGTGGGTCCTGCAGGGCCTTTGTAATGATGTGCAGGTGGGGAGAGAAGGGGACATGCCTCCTCCAGGCCCCCTCTCTGTTCTTTAAAACCAGAGCAGCCTGAGGCAAGGGCTCTGGCTGAGGACTCCCTACCGCATGAGCCAGATAATAACTCAGGACAACCCTGCCTGCATCATGTGGCCTCATGGCCCTGAAGTCCTCTGAGACCATCAGGCATAAACCACCAGAAACCCACCGGCTTCCCAGGGAAGCTGCCCCTCCATGTGGATGCCCCTCTCCAGGGGAATCCTGGCGTAAAAACAGGCAGGGTAGCAAGGGCCCTTAGCAATCACTAATCCTGGGGCCTTGTGTTAGGAAGGATCCTGAGGCCATATCCGGACCCCAACAGAGAGAGTATGTGACCAGTTGATGATACTTGCCTTGGACTCAGAAGTGGTGGGTGCATCTGTTTGCGATCTTTGATGTAGTCCCTGCTGTACAGAGGGGGAAACTGAGGCACAGAGCGGGCATTGACTTGTTCAACAACATCCAGCCTGGTCCCCTGCACCTCTCCCGGACGTGAGAACTGTGTTTTGATGAAATGAGCCGCTCAGTGCCCATGACAGCCCCTATGCTCTCAGCCACGGAGCCATGCCACACACAGCAGCGCAGATCCTGGGCCAGCGTGTGGTGCGGGCCAGAGCAATGCCCCACCGACTGAGGTCTGCACAGGCATGCGGGTGATCCCTCGGGCTCTGGCTCTGCCGGCCCCCCACCTCCCAAGGCTGCTGGTTTGGGCACTTTTGGGACCAAACCAAGGGCCACTCCCCGCCACCAGTGCCCCCCTCTGTGCATTGTCACAGGCAGAGGCCCTCATCGTTCCATTGACAGGGCACCTAGGGTGTGCCAGGGGCTGCATCAGGCCCGGGAAGAGAGCCATTGGCAGGTAACCTAGGAATTTGAATGAGCTAGACATGACGATGATGATGATGATTTTGCCCATGGACATAGAACCAAAGACTATGTTGAAAAAAGGAGCAATTTTGTCAAACAACGAGTTGTTTTGTCCACAAGGGGCTCTGCTCCTGCTTGGTCTTGGCCCAGTCTCTGCCCTGAGGCTGTGATTGGAGTGGAAGGTACTGCAGAGGGAACCATTCTCATCCCACCCCTCATCCTGCAGGTGGGGCAGAGAGGCCCCAAGAGGAAGGCTCCAGCCCCACATCCCACGGCACAGCCAGGAGCACAGGTCCCCCTGCCCAGGTCCCAGCCTCCCTATTCTCTAGAGCAGTTTGGACCCTCTGGGTAGCCACTCCTTCCCCGCTCTGTTCTCTGGCGTGGGGAATCAGAGCATCCTTTCCCGTGAACTGTCTCCACCCTCCTTCCTTGGAATTGAGCGGTTGGGCCCCAGTGCCCATCCCCAGACATCACGGAGGTCTCTGGGCCACTCTAGGCTTCCCCCACAGCCTCTGTAAGTGGCCCTCCATCTGGGCCAGCCAGCATGTCCTAGGCCTGGGGACCATTCAACTTCATGGACCCAAGATGTGAAAACTGCAAAAGAAATGTCTTTATTCTTTTAGCCTTCTTAATATTTACAAAGAACAAGAAGAACAGAACTGAGATTGGCTTACACAGTGGGTGGCAGATGCACAGGTGTGTAACTCTGGCTTTTGGAACGGCCGGCAGGCCAGAGCAACGCCCCGCCGACTGAGGTCTGCGCAGGCCTGCGGGTGATCTGTCGGGCTTTGGCCCAGTTGGAGAGGGGCCGGTCGAGCCCGGCTCCACCGCTCCCAAGGCTGCAAGGGCTGGCTGGGCAACTGCCTGAGAAGCCCCTGCCCCGATCCTGCCCTCCCCCTCCCCCCCCACACACACACAAAGGGAAGGCTCTCAAGAGGCTACACCACTGCCCAGCCCACTGCTCACCAGGAGAGCTCCCGGGGTCTCCAACACCCCTGCAGGCCAGCGGTGGGGACCAAGGCCCTCCCAGCCCGGCTAGAGGTAGCCAAAGACGTTGAAGATGGGCGGGGGCATGGCCGGCTTGGTGGGGATAGGCTTCAGAACCACGGGTCTGTACACTTTCTGCCCAGGACCTTCCACATCCTTGCAGAAGTGGTTCAGCTCACCGGGGGAAGCTGAGCTTTTCCGCCAGAGGCCCAGGCTGGGGAGCGGGCTCTGAGGCAAGGCCCCTGGAGGGCCTGGGTAGATGGGCTGTCCATGGTACTGGAAGGGGCAGCAACTCCAGGCATTGACACGGCCCACGAGGGAGACCCCAGGCATCTTGAGAGGCTCCTTTTCAGTGGGTGCCCTTGGGGATGCGGGCACTGGGGCTGTCTCGGGCCCCAGGGGCTCCAAGCCCTTGCAGTGTTTCTTACCCTCATAGGGAGGTCCCTCCCTGGGGCCCAGTCCCCCCTCCAACCCCACGGGGTAGCTTTGGGTGGGCCGTGGCTCCTCCCAGAAGGAAGCAGGCAGCTGTCTTTTCCTCATGGGCACCTGGCCAGGCCTGGCAGCTTCTGGATCCGGCCCGTGTAAGTTCTGCTCCTTAGAGAGACATTCCTCCTTGTAGGGGTTCCCCAACGCCTTCTCCTTGCAGCACCCACCCCCGCCGGGGCTGGAACTGTGGCCAGAATCGAGGGGCAGCCTCCCAGGCCGGTCCTCGGACCCCCTTTTCAGGTGAGGCTCGGCCCCTCTGCCGGGGAGGCCCCGCGGGAGCCGGGAATACTTCTGGGAGAAGCGTTTGAGCTGTTTCTGCAGGTACTTGCGGTGGTCCACCGAGCGGCGGCAGGGTGCAGACTTGTCCAGGGCCGCCTTGATGTCGCTGGATGCCAGGTTCACAAAGTTCAGCAGCATCTTCACATCGCTGTCGGATGCCATCACCAGGGGACCGCTGCACGGGGCTTTCCATGAAGAGGGCGGCTCTGCAGGCGGCTGGCGGCTCCAGGGAAGGGCACAGAGCTGACCTGGAGGGACACAGCAGCCGTTGGAGTCTCTTTGAGCAACCACACTCAGCCCTCCCCAGAGGCCACATGGTTGCAGACAGTGGTGCTCACCGCAACACCCCTCAGCCCTAGACAGAGTCCTGGGTCGTGGGACGCTCATTCAAGCCTCTAAGCGTTCCCAGCGCATCTGTGATGCACAAACGCATTTCGTCTTCCTGGGTCTGTTGCCCTGCACACGCAGCCGAGGCTCAGAGAGGTCAGGGGACTTGCCCAAGGTGACCCAGCCACAAGTGGCATTGCTGGGGCTGGAGCCCACTGTGTCTCCCACATACCACGCCGCCGGCGTGCACAACCTGCCAGCAAGGTTTTCATTTTCTGAGCCGAGGCAACCGGCTTTAAGGCAACCACTTTAAGGCAAGGCCAAGCCCCCTGTCTCCCCGGCGATGCCCTCCTCCTCCCACCCCCGCCCCCAGCCCTGCTAGCATCCACCCCCCTCCTCAGTCCCCACGCTCCACCCACAGTTCTCACGCAGGACAGGCAGGACCCCTGTCTGGCACTCAAGCCGAGGCCTGCCTGGCGGGCTGATCTCAGGCTGTGGGCAGCAGGGACTCCCCCGAATGAGCATCTGCAGCAATTTCATGCCTCCTCGGCCACCACCCGCAGCACCTCGCCCCTCCCCCAGGCCCCAGCCTGCCCCACGTCCCCACCCAGTGCGGCCTGAGACGCCTGGACCTCCACACTGACCGAGGGTGCGGGGCCCCGGGCCCCGCCAAGGTGGCCCGGCAGGTTCCCCGCCGCAGACCTGGGCCAGGCCCGGCGCGGCCGGCGAGCTCCGTGGTCCGGCTGGAGGCAGTTGTGCAGCCCTCGAGCGGGCTGAATGGAGGACGAGTCCCCGGAGCTGGGGGGCCCCTCAGGCCAATCAGGAGCGCCTCTCCAGATACAAAGCATCCCAATCAGGCGGCAGCGCCCCGTTCCCACATTCTTTGCCGTCACAAATTGTCACCATGGGGACCATCACAAAAAAGACAGCTCCCAAATGCAATCATTTCCCGGTAAATTTCTACCCTTCAGCCCACTCTCCGTCTCTGCCTCCACGCCCCTCCTCCCCTTGACCTCGGTTCCCTGTTTTCTCGAGGGGGCGGGGTGTGTGTGTGTGTGTGTGTGTGAGTGTGTGTGTGTGTGCGCGCGCGCACGAGCACGTGTATGTATGTGTGCGCGCGCGCGAGCACGTTTAAAAAGTCCAAGATTGAGGAGGGGCTGGGCCCAGAAGAGATGGGCTGGCAAAGCTCCCCCAGACTCCAGGCCTACAGCTGCCATGCTCCAGTGCAGACAGACAATCGGATGGGGTGAGCCGGGGCGGGCTGCTTTCCCCGCTGTCCCTGAGTGTTGAGTGGCTCTCTCTGCTCTCTGTCTCCCTCTTTCCC